GGAGAGAAGGAGGTGGTCAGCGAGGGCGGCGGAAGCACACAGGCGCCGGGCTGGGCCGCCGCGGTCCGATCAGGGCTTTGGTAACTCAGACCTGCCATGAGACTTGTGTCGTCCAGCTCGCAGCGTCATCCCTTCGGACCGCTCCGCGCCCGCCGAAACCGCCCTCCACTTGGGGCCTAGCCCCTTCCACCCACCCCGGAGCAGCTCTTTGGGGAAGAGGGGGGCGTTTACCTGAGGCAGCGCATCCTGCTCCCGAGGTATCAACCTGCGGAGAGGAGCCAACTGGTGAGACGGGCCTTGGGGAGCAGAGCGCCTCCAGAGCCCCCAAAATACCCCTCCAAAGCCCATTTCAGAGATTACGCAGCTCAAGGACTAACAGACACCCAGCATCAAGGTGCAGACCAGCCCTCCCCTTTACCCACCTGCAGAGGGAGACATCCAGGTCGCTCCCAGAGGCTTCAGGCACAACACTGAAACAAATGGTGAATATTAACAGCAATTTCTCTGCCTGAAGACGACCCGCTCCCCATGAGGCTGCCTGCGCTCCACAGTTCTCAGGAGAAAAGCTGGCATCACAGACACTCAGCCATATGCTTGTCTGTTTTTATTCATCACTGAACAGCAAGAGAGCAGCTGCGCCCTAGAAGCCCATAGCGAGTTCACATCCCTCCATGACCAAGCCAGGACTCAGCTTCCACTAGAGCATCAGTATCAGACAACCCCCATCACCTTCCCCACAAGGGCTGGGGCTTGTGCAAGCGCTCCTCCAGCGAGATCAAGATTCCCCCTCAGCGCAAGCTTGCCCACTCCTCTAGCTTGGGACAATAAGGTTGTGACAACAATGCCTGTTCCTACTTGGGGAAAAATGCTATCCCCCTACCCTCAAAAATCATCTGTTTTGTCATGAAAGACAAAAAAGCTTAGATGCTTACCTGTAAAGCAACCATGGATGCACATGGCTGACCTTAAAAGATAAAGAATCAGTCACTCAACTGTACTTTGCGCTTCATGAGTGCAACATACCCAACACCCCAACCCAAGGTCACGCCCGAAACACGTGCTCTTCTTTGTCTACGGGCAGTCGAGCCTGGGCCTGGAAATCAGTGCCACTCAGAACATCAAAAAGGGTTTCTCCACTCAACCATCAGAAAGAGAGAGTTCAGTGGTTTCATCTTTGCAGCACATCAGCCCCCACCCCAGCAGCATGACAGCTGTCCTGCCGAAATGGAGAACACAAGGACTCCGCAACCAGGAAGAGTGGCAAGACCACGTTAAGCTCACAATTTCACCACCAGGAGAAACAGCACCCAGGCTCTCCTGGACAACTCACCTCTGAAAGGGGATTACCCTAGAGATCCAAAAACCTGCAGAAGAAAGAACCGCGATGTTAGACATACAGAACAAACACACGTGACACCCCTTCAGCAAGCCGTGGGTAGGAACCACAGCCTCTCCCCAGCGAGGGAACAAGGCTGGGGCAGGCCTGCTCTTCTCAGAGACACTAAGGGTCTTCACACAGCAGTCAGTTCAGGTCTGTGAGTAAACTCATCACAGAACAGCCCCCCACGCCACAGCCCTGCATCTCCCTCAGAGCTGGGGCTGCAGTCTAGTCCCTACCCCAAGGGGCTGCACAACGCAACGGCACGAAGCCCCGCTAGGGCCACTCCCTCCCCAGCAGGGAAAAAGCAGCTCCCTGACAGAGAGCAGGGTGCGTATAGACGCACAAAATGGCCGCCAACCCCCAAGCGCTGCTCTCGCCGCCGTACGACCCGGAGCGCGACTACCCAGCCGCAGGAAAAAAAAGGAAGAGTCAAGAGGATAGGATCATCACGCCCAAAGCGGCCACCAGGGCAGCCCCAACGGCAAGCAGCACCCAGACACGCTCACCTCCCCCAGCGCAGTAGCAACGACGAAATGGCCGACAGTGCCCCGGCTGCGCTCTTAAATACACCGCCGCCCCGGGGCACGCTGGGAGGCAGAGATGCGCGTGCGCACTACGGCCATGCCTCGATGCGCATGCGCGGAACTGAGTCCAGTCGCTCGGGAGGCAAGGGGGAGAAGTCGCGCAGGCGCAGTGAGAGGGAAGGCGCGCGGCGCCCCCCCACCTCGGCGACCGTTGGGGAATGGGCGGGAAAGGAGTCGCGCAGGCGCAGTAAGGGGGAAAGCGCGCGGCGCCCCCCGCCGGCGACCGTTGGGGAAGCGGCGTCGCGCCGCTGTGCTGAGGCGCTGCCGCAGCCCCCCCGGCCTT